AGCAGCTCCTGGAAGCTCAAATTCTGGGGCAATGCGAACGCAGGTCTGGGCACAAAGAACGCCTACTCCGCAGAAGGCTCCCAACAGCGCCAGGCCATGACGTGCTGATGGCCAGAACATGCCAGAACTATGAGGTGAAAGAGGGGTGCTGTTCCCATGATGAGTCATGAGGAATGAAGGCACCAGGGTGCAGATCAAAAGTCGTATTTCGGAGGATCATGGTCTCATGATGAGCCACAAAAGATATAAGGGCACAGCTGAGTTCTCGTGCAACTTCTAGGAGAATCCCAAAACGAAAGGGTTTTGCCTTCGCTAGCAGGATTTCGAGAAGCCCACAAATGCAAAGACAAGTCAGCATTGGTGGTTACACGAAGCAGCAGGAATCATCAAAGAGGGGCCGCTGCGGCAGATGTGGACGAGCTGCAGATGGCGCAGGAAGCAGGGCCCTGAACACCCCCTGGAAGCCAAAGGAGGTGCTCTGGTGCAGCATGGTGCAGCTACGTGCGGGTAAGATATTGCTAGCAAGGGAGTCGAGAAGTGACGAGCAGTTCGCACCCACATCTCTTGAAATTTGAGGAGCTATGTCAAGTCATCTAGCTCTGTCCCATCATGGAACTTGAAGGCTACGGACTACAGTGACCAAGTTCTGTCAATGTTACAAAGAGGCTGATCGGAGCAGATATAGTATGTGAGAGCTTCTGGAATTCCTTTCACAAACTGCAGAGTACAAGAACAGCGACAGTCCATGACGTTTGCCATGTTTGCCGTGAGTTTTGCAAGCCATCTCCCTTCCAAGGCTCCATTGCCAGCTCATTCTGCTTTGGTGCTGCTTGGGCCCCGGTACTGGTACCATCAATCCGGCCTTCGTTGTTCGTGACTGCTCCCACTGTTGGCTTACAGTAGCGAAGTTTTGAACTTTTGTCGTGGAAGAATGTAGCATCAGCACGCAGGTCCAGGCCAAGACACAGTGCAGCTTCGGTTCTTGCTCTGAGGCCTGGACAGTGCCTACCTGAGAGAGACCTTCTACCAGGACCTGGGGCGAATTGTGCGGCAACAGTACATATAGTTTGATACACTATAATCTGATGATCCCACAATGTAGTATAATGTTCAGTCTATGGGTTAGGATTTAGGCTTTAGGGTTTAGGATCGTCTATGATCGTCTTTGCAGCGAGATGTGGTACTCCGACATACCGGAGCCTGCGAGCTGCGTTCCGCTGCGAGTAGTTCTTGGCTTCGTGAGGAGGTGGGTCAGGCAGACATCAGCCCAAGATTCCCGCGGTTGCGCTCAACCGCACGAATAGTGCAGGCCTCAGGCACTCGATCATGCCTGCGTGCCGACGACCTGCCGGGCAAACAATGTCGGCACGAAGATCTAGTTGTAATCATGGATCTTAGACTGGCGGGGCGCGAGCGCAGAATCTTCTCACTGTGACTCAGGAAACGAAGGGCCGGCGCAGGGAACCCCATCTGGCACTGCTGCTAGTCTGAAGTAGCTGCCGCGTGTGACCGATTCGCGAAATCATCTGCCCGTCTGTATGCAAAGGCGGTGCGGCGTGCACAGAGCCCTGTGCCTGTGCCCGGAGCAACCTCCCCACTGGCAGCAGGCTGGGCCCTGTCGCCCAGAGCATGGATAATGTGAAGGTTGCAGATGGTTGCAGCCTGCCATCGTGCCAGGGAGCAAGCTCCAATCAGAGCCATCCGCGGCGTCTTGGCTGCCTACGTTGTCCATGGGTGCAATGACTTTTCGGGCGGCCGCTTATATAAGCGAGCTGAGACGTGTGTGAAGGCAGCTTCACCGTCACGGAGCCAGACGCCAAGACAGCGTCCTCAGACACGCGCCGGGAACAGCAACGGAGGCATCAACAAGCAAGTAGTGTTCTGCTGGACACTTCTGCAATTTCAAGCTGTAATGTTCGGAATCACATCCAAGCTGCGCAAATGCCAGGCAAAGAGCGTGCGTCTTCTGCGCCGCGGTCTTCAGCCGCTCGGCTCCAGTTTGGTGGATGCGAGCCAGGAGCTTTGCTGTTTCCATGTCGTGGGTTCTGTTGCTAGTCGCTTCATAACATCCGCACCCACAGGCCGCCTGCACTCCTGCGGCGGAGCCTACTTCTTGCAGACCAGGCAGGGCCCAGAACCGTTTGCTGCAATCGCTCGTCCTAACAATTCCAGCCGCCACAAGAATAGCATTAGTAATTGTAACAGTATTGATTCAGTATTGATCATAGTAATACCGAATTGTACGAATAGTAATAGTAATAAGAAGAAGAACAGCAACAACAATAGCAACAATGATATCCCAGACGATGCAACAACACTTAGTACTAATAGCAACAATAATAACATGAACCACAATATCGATAATGATGCATAGTAATGATAATACTGATAACAATATCAAGAACAAGAATAACCATAATAAGAAGAATATTCATGATAGTACCTACCGTAGAAATATCACTACCAGCAGAAGGACATGTATAGGTGGACATATATATATATAGATAGATAGATAGATAGATTAACTATCAAAAGAAGCCAGCAGGGACGTGACCTCGAATCCAGGTGTTGCAGCGAAGGACGGTCTCCGTGCTCCGCGCGCTGAAGATCTGGCCGCAGCTGGTGCAGCCTGCCTTCCCGTTTATCTCGAAGAAAGTTGCTGCTTTGTCTGCAACGCATGGCATTCGTCTGCATTGCAGATTGATTCTGAGGCAAAGCGCGGACAGAGCCCCATGCCGCACACGCCACGAGCTGCCGCCAGCCCAGTGGATGGCGCCAAAGCCAGATGCGCACGCACAAGCCGGTGACTCAGACTGCATCCGAAATTTGCCTGGGATGTCGGGCTTCGACTTTTGAAGGTGATCGACTCTCGCCCACGCGTGCACCAGAAGAGGTCTCTTGGCCTCGCGAATCGTCACCGGCTATGCTCCACACATTATACTCCTTGGTGCTGTCTCCACTCCATGCTTTTTCCTGGCTGCCAGCTACCACGGAACATGCCCGCAGTGTAGCCTGATGCCCAAGGCTGATACACGCTCACCAAGTCGTGCAGCAAGAGCCACGGCCATTTGCTCGCCGAAAGTAGGCCGGATTGTTCTCCTCAGCTTGCATTGGTGGCATTTAAGACTATCGTTGTTCCTTGTCTTCCTTCGCACCGTTGAGCGGCCTGATGGCAGTGCATGACCCGCAGGTCCCAAGAGGGACGCCACACCTCCGCCGCGCTCGAAAACGCCTCCGCCAAATGCACAAGCCGACACCTTGGAAAGCACTTCAGTGCAGGAAAACCGTGCTCGGCTTCGTCTACTACTTCTGAGTAGTATGAGGCTGAGGTGTGCCGCCTGGTTAAAGTGTTCGCTCCACGAGGCGAGCGTGCGTCCAAGCGGGACGATGCCGACCGAGCGAGGAGCATCCGAGCCTTCCTTCCCTCGGCTACGAAATGACACTGGAGTGGCTCTCTCAAAGTCGCTTCATCGCACGAACCCTTCGTCCGAAGTTTCGGGGCAAATAAACCAAAGCAGGTGAAAAGAACGGGTTCGGTGTCACCGTTGAGCCCGGTACTGTAGGTGTCGTGGAAACCAATTCCCCTCCGGAGGAGCAAATACCCCGCCGACGAAAGCATCTCCTCCGGAACGAGACAAGACGCCCAAGGCAAGGTGTGCTTTCGCACTTGGAGAAGCACAACATAATCCTGCGTTGGTTGAGGGTTTTTTGAGACTTGTCAGATTTCTACATGGGTGCAAACAACTCGAAACTCTCGTGCTCGAGTTCAGAGGGCGTACTCTGCATACCGCATATAACAGCAGACGGGATGCCAATAATTTCTTTTTGTATATAGATATAGGCTTACATGGATATAGATATACATAGATGTGTATAACTACGAGTGCCTCTGTAATGGGCTATGTTCAGGCACTGATGTACATGCATGCCCCAGAGGTTTTTTTCCGGGGGGGGCATCAAGCCAGCGATTCGCAGGCAACGCCTCGAGCGTCGGGAAAGGCTTCAACCCCGAGGGCGGCTTTCTCGAAAGCAGACCGAGGTCCGGTTCACAACTGGGCTCTGGCTACAGAATTTAATTTAAGCTACCATAATGGGGATCTATATGTAAGTTATTAAATGATATGGTTTCCTTGTCATGGTAACTTAAATTTCACTTCATGACAAGAACCCAGCTTCACAACCTTTGTGGCACATTCAATGTCCAGGCATGTGCGAAGGCAGAGGCCATGGCAGGGCAGTTTCAGGTTTGTTGCTGTGCAGGCACCACTCCGCCGCCAGCAAAGGCAAGAGACAGTGCCAAGACCCCTCCCAAGGCTCGAGGGCTGGTGACGCGCGCTTAAATCGCTTGGGCTTGTATCGGGATTGGTTCTCGAGTCGTGTGTGCCGGAATCGCAGTGCAAGTGCTCGACCTAAGTCCTTCTGGGCTTATTTTACCACTCAACTCGCCGTTCAAGCACCAGCCCATTCAAGCACTTGAATCTAAAGCGGGGTTTAGGGGCTTCAGGGTTGAACGTTTCGGACGGGATTTTGCGTTTTTAAAGGTTTTTTCGGTTTCAGGGCTTTAGTGTTTTTAGCCTTTGCAAGCTTGAATTGAATCCAGCCATGTTCAGCAGTTGCCAGTTTGTGCGTGCGAGTCCTGCATGAGAGGGCCCCTGCTTCCCAACGTGGGGCTTCCTACTCTTGGTGTGCAGCACGATTCGGTCGATTCGAGGCTTCCAACAGGCACTTGGCTGTGTTTGCTTGTTCAGCCACTGTAGAAAAAGATATAGCGGAAATTGGTCAGGGAAAGTGGGAGCTCGCCTAGGCTTTTCCGAGAGCTCGGAGACAGATGCCAGGCTGCGCAACGCAACGACACCGTGCAGAGGTCCCGGAGCTACCAGCTGCTGGCACAAGTCAAAGCTGCTACCAGTAGCTAGCCTTTCTTTGCATTTCTTTGCTGCGTGGAGGCCACAGGAGGCGCCACGGGCGGCTTCCCGAAGTGGTGCGATCCGGACAGGTGCATGGCCACGTTGAGCATTCGGCCTTCCGAATGGTCTGCGGAGGAATGATACGCCTGGCACAGCAGTAGAGAGGAAGTGAAGCCAGAATCATCCTTTGCAGCTGTGAGCGAACTTTTTGGTCGGCCGGCTAAGTCGGCTGCGTCCAAGTCCAAGCCCCACCGTCCTTCGAGCTGGGGCAGATTCGTGCCAGCGACTCTCAAAATACCTTCATGTATCATGGTGGATGAAGGCCGGTGTGGCTTGGCTGGGCTCTGTTAATGTCCTCTGATGACCGGATGATGCAGTCTGGAATACCTCGTAGCGTCAGAAAGGTGATCGTGAAGTCTGTTTCGGATTATGACAGCATCACCCCCAAGGCCAAGGAGGATCCGATGGCTCCGCTTACACCTTTTGAACATGCTGAGCTTAAGACAGATCAGTGCGCACATGCAGACCTCAGCATTTCTAGCTGATGCACATACTGATTCCCTGGCTCCAAGTTTCAGAAGGTGTGGCAGAGCCACCGTGATCCTACATCCTTGTGCGCCGGCAACTTGAATTTCTGTTGAATTCCAGACCCGTGTGGTCGCTTGAAAGGAGGCTCCTGCATACAAAGATTTGCGATTGAATTTTTCTCGTCAGACGGAAGCATGCACGGCCTTCGCTCGAGTAGCACGCAGCTGTGGCAGTCAGTGTCAGCCACAGCCTAGAATTGCTACGAGAAAGACAACAGTCGTTGCACTGCTGCTGTTTCGGCAAGCTGGAACTTGGAGGTAGGCCCCGGCCCTACCCGCCATTCGCGGAAACGCGATTGGCATGCATTGCCCGGAGCCCAGTTCGTGAGCCATGCTCGAGGCATCTCGACGGCTGCAGGAGCATCCTCCACAAGGCTAGAACGTGTAAGGCTCCACCACTATGCACCCGCCTAATGCCAGCCGCGAACTTGTTGATGGCTGACAGCTTCGAGCACAATGTGACCCAACAAGCCCTGCTACATTTCAGAGAAGCATAGGGGGCATCGACGGATAAGCAATCACTTGGGCACTTCGGTTGCTTTAGTTCTTTGGAGAACCCCAGGTTGCCCTCCTGAAATATCCTTGCTCAGTTAGCCCCTTTCCACGAGGCTATGTCCGACCTACAGAGCTCGGCCCACAGGGGGGTTTGCCAATGTTTAGGGTTTGGTGGGTGTTGTCAGAGCCTGTTCAGAGTCCGGCTTCGGGAAGTTGGAGTCACAGATTGCAATGCGCAGTTCTAGGGATTCAGAAGCTTTCGCAACGCATCCGGGGTGCCACAAAAAGAAAGGTTCTGTTTTGCTCAGCACCATAACGAGCCTTCTTGCAAGGAGCGGAGAGACTTGTGACTTTTTGGGAGCATCGAAGGAGAGTGGGGGACCCCCCGTTCAAGTACAGCGCTACCCCTGTCCGCGGTTCAGTCCCTGCTGGTCGAATTGACCAAGGCATTGGTCGAGAGTTGAAGCTTACCGTATACATATGAGGGAAGTCAGCTGGCTGTTCGCATGCTGTTTGTCGCGGCTTTCATAGAGCAGAGGTCCAGGATCAGAGGAGGGTCCATCGCAAGAGGACCTCGGTGCAGATCAGAATGATGACAGCTAGGATGTTCCCTCGGTCCCGGTTTGAAGACTTTCTGGTGGTACTTGTGTTTGCGCAGCCGGTCTCCTTGGCAGGACTGCTTGTACGAGAGTGTCGACAATGCAGGCAGAGCTTTCGCAGGCAAACGCTTCTGCAGCTGATGTCTCCGCTTCCTGCAGATGCCGAAGAGATTCCGAATCAAGGTGATATGGCGGCGGTGCCTACCAGCGATACATTGGCCAGAGACCTAGCCCAGCTAGCAGGCATTATGAAGACAAGCACGACCGATGGCAGTGTCGTGTCCAAGGTGAGTGCGAGCGAGGATGTTGAACCTTTGCCTTGCGAACCTTGGTCTGGGAGGTACCGGGAAGCCCCCGAGGCATTTGCCAGCCTCCTGGAGGTTCCAAGCGCCAAGGAAGCCCGGGAGCCGACCCTCAAGCACAAGGTCATCGTCTTGCCCCCGAGCCGCAGAAATGCACTGCGCAGCCCCTCCCCGGAGAACAACTCTCCGTTAGTGCGCCTCACCCGGCTTCGATCACCAGAGATTTCACCACGCCTCCTTCGTCCCATGCCACTCTTTGCGCAAACGGCGCCGACACGCAGGAGTGTGGGCACTAGGAACCACGGCACGCTGTCTGAATTGGGCATCTTACACCCTCGCACAGGCAGCCCTGTGCGTTACGAAGCCCCGGGCGTTGCATATCCTAGAACGGGGTCTCGACTGGGAAGCGACGCGAGAAGTGACAGACTTGGAGGCCGCACTCCCGTGACTCCCACGGTCCCGGCCCTTTGTCCCAGTCGGATCCCAAGCTCATGGATGAACAATAAGCCGTCGGTGACCCCTCTCTCTGGGTTAGCCGGGCCAGGCACAGGGAGACCTTCAAGGCATAGCGTGGGCTCTTGTGCAGGGAGACCCCGATCTGCCACACCTCCCTTTGCCCGATCCTCCAGCCAGGACCGTCAGCGGCGAGGAAGTGAGAATCGTCAGCCCTTGAACTCCAACCGAAGCGCTTCCAAAGGACTGAAGAAGTCGCGAGGGGCCAGGGCCCAGTCTCCCGATGAAGCGGCAGAGCCCATGGCGGTCCTACGAAGGGTAGAATTTACCACAGATGAGGCGGGCCGCACAGACTTGATGCATGCAGCCCGTGATGGCGACCTGGTCCGGGCCTCCACCTTGCTTTGTGCGGGCCTTCCGGTGGATGCCACGGACTCCTGCAAATGCACTGCTTTGATGTATGCCACCACATATGGCCATGTAGCTCTTGCGCGTTTGCTCATCGAGCAAGGCGCTAATGTCAATGCGCTCAGCCATGACAGATGGACACCACTGATCGCTGCCGTTTACAACGGCCACCTACCGGTGGCGAAGTATTTGTTGTCCAAGGGAGCCAACATTGAATGCGCGGATGATAGGGGATGGACGGCTCTGATGCACGTGGGCTTCAACGGCAAGGTTGACATTCTGCAGTGTCTCCTGGAACACCACGCAGACACTGAGCGAAAGGACAACGAAGGAAGGACAGCACTTGTGTATGCGGCGTTCAGCGGTCATCTTCAGAGCGTGAAGCTCTTGCTGGCTGCAACGAAGCGCTCGGACGGCGCAGACGGCCCTTGCTCTTTGGCTCTCATGTTTGCTGCCGACAAAGGTCACATGGACGTGGCTCGCACCATCCTGGATACCACCTTCGTCTCAGTGCGAGCGAGGGCATCGGCACTGGAGCTTGCAAACCTCCACGGCCATCATGAAGTGGCGCTGCACTCAGTGGACTTCCAAAACTGGAACTGGTTCCGGTTATGCAGTTCGGAGCTGCCGAATGGCAAACCGTAAACTTCGAGCTAGTTATCCGATCCCTCTTGGGTTGTTGTAGTTCTGTGCCTGGCATTTGGAATGCTGACATGCAACGGAGCGCGCGAGCATGGCATGCAGATGACCAGAGGCGAAGCTCCTGTTGCAGAGCGCGCATGCTTTTGGAACAATACCGGCAGAATCTTGGCTGGCATGGGGGTCATTGATGGTCAAGGGCGAGTCTTCCAGCATGACCGATGGTCAGTCTCCTGATCTTTCTAGAAACATGAGCCGTGCACGCACTGAGGCTTGAGAGACGAGACAAACTGAGCCTTCTGCCGTGTGTTGACCACTGCAACTTCTGCTAGGCTGCATGCAAGGAATCTCCAGACACTTAGTGCGTTCCTGTTGTGTTCGCCACGGAGTGCAGAAGGAAGAAGCCAAAGTAAAGCGGCCGAGATAACGTTAGTTACGACACAGAGGTGTCGTGTTTGTGCATGGAGCATCTGCTGAAGATGCTCTTGCAGGGCAAGTCACGCCTGTAGGGGTGCATCAGGCTGGGACGGAAAACAGACCTCTGCCATAAGGATATACTTGAAATGGATGGAATATCTCAGTTTCTCTCACGTGATAACGATTGTAGTGAATGGTATAGAGACCAAAAATAAGGGTCGACAGTGGATTTTGGGGTCCTTAGGCCCCTGAAGTTTCTGCAAATTGTTTTGGTTGCTCAACACGCAGCAGGCTTGAGGGAGACACACCTCACGAGCGAGTCTCCTCCCGCAGATGGCTCTGCCCTGTCAAGCACCATGTTGCAAAACGTCAAAGGATGCAGAACCATGATGACAACCTCTGGGTCAGTTCTGCTAGTATCTGCCAGTATAAGAAATACTCGAAGAGTCTGCATCATTGGACAGGACATCAAGTGTCACAAATCCAAAACATCAGCTGCCTGTGTGCCCATAGCAGCCGCGTCTGCTACTTTGCGGAAGCTCCAATGCCTCCGGTGCCCAACAATTCCGAGGACACGCTGCTGCAGGCCGGGTCGCCAGCGTCGTCGTGATAGCTGTACGCTATTAACGTTTCCTGGCTCCTGGCCTGCTGAACCCGTTGGTGGAAACGACAGCCGCAGGCCTACACGGCTTTGAAGAACGCTGTGGCCCTCGACAGTTCTCTCCAAAAAGAGGCGGGGTCGGGAAACACCAGGTGTGTATGCATATGCGTACACTATTTATTGTGTAGGCTTGTATCACATATATATATATATACATACATACATACATATGTATGTATGATAGGTATGTGTATATATACATTTACTATACGCATGCACATATGTGTATACCCACCTACCTGAATACCTCATCCTGCCTGCCTGCCTGCCGGCCCAGCCACGTAACACAAACACACATACATACACATACATACATACATACATACCTACATACATACATACATACATCCTACCATACCATACCATACCCTGCATACCATACATACCATATATACATTACGTTACCATACATGCTTACATACAAACATACATGCACATGCACATGCACCTGCATATCTACATACACGAATACATAAACATCTACATATACATACAGTCATACACATGCATACAGACAGACATCCATACATGGTAATGGATGGATCATGTATTATGTATGCATATATATATATATAGGGAGCTGTCTTTGTCGTGAAAGTCTTGAGTTTTCAGCGCGCCATGGTTCAAAGATGTCGACGTGTTTATCAAGCGCCATTATCGGACGGGTTTTGGGGAACCGACGCACGGGTCTGATAGGGCAAATGGTCGCGTCTGATAACTGGGGGCTCCGTGAATGATAAGGCCAGTCACACGTCCAATAAAAAAAAAGTCGCCAAGCGCATGACGCGGGCATCGACTGTAGGATAAAGTATGGCTGATAAACCCGTCACCCTGTGTGTATATATATATACACATTATACATACATACATACATACATACATCGCGGCCGGGGCGGGGAGGGGTTGAATCGACCTGAAGACGAAGACGCTTTGCGAAGCCGCATTGGTGCTTAAAGGACCCAGTAGGCGAAGCCGAATTCGGAGGCGAAGACGCTTTGCGAAGCCGAATTCGGAGGCGAAGACGCTTTGCAAAGCCGAATTAGGAGGCGAAGACACATTGCGAAGCCGAATTAGGAGGCGAAGACGCTTTGCGAAGCCGAAATAGAAGGCGAAGACGCACTGCGAAGCCGAATTAGGAGGCGAAGACGCTTTTCGAAGCCGAATTGGGAGGCGAAGCCGCATTGCGAAGCCGAATTAGGAGGCGAAGACGCTTTGCGAAGCCGAAATAGAAGGCGAAGACGCATTGCGAAGCCGAATTAGGAGGCGAAGATGCTTGTCGAAGCCGAATTAGGAGGCGAAGCCGCATCGCGAAGCCGAATTAGGAGGCGAAGACGCTTTGCGAAGCCGAATTAGGAGGCGAAGCCGCATTGTGAAGCCGAATTAGGCGGCGAAGACGCTTTGCGAAGTTGCATCAGGAGACAACAGGGTAGCTTGGTCGGGCCGCGTCGTGCACCATGGTTGATGCCTGCGGTGCTACTGGATGTGCTCCCGAAGCTGCCTTTGGGTTTAAGGGCTTAGTTTGGAGCGTAATAAGGTTCGGAAGGGTTGAGCGTTTAGGGTTTGCGATTAAGGTTTGGTGTGTACGGTTGTACTCTTTACCCGAAACCCGACAGGTCCTAGTTTTGGGTTGAAGGCTCCGAGAACGTCCCTTCTGTAGTGTCAAGACCAACCCTAAACCTACTGGAGCTACACCCTACAACCTATGCCCAAACCCCAAACCCAAACCCAAACTCGGCGTCAAGGGGTAGTTCGGCTGTCACAAGTCGGCGTCTTGGGGTAAGTCGGCTTCACAATTCGGCGTCAGCGGGTAATTCGGTTTCATGCCGTAATTCGGCGTCAGGGGACAATTTGGCGTCACACCGCATCGCGGCGTCAGACAATGCGGCGTCGCAATGAGGCGTCCCTCCCTTCCCGGCTGCCGGCCGCCCTGTATGTATATACATATATATATATGTATGTATATGTATATATATATATCACGAAAGCTCCCTCCGTGGAGGGAAAAGCTTTCGTTTGAGACCCAGCATTGCTGATCAGCTATAGGGTCCCAAAACACCCTCCGTTTTCGAGCCAACCCCCAGGCCATGAGGTGTTTCAGGCGTGGGCCGTGCGCGGGCTCGTTTTCGGGGCTGCGTGCGGGACTCCGGGAAAGACGTGTTTTTGGAGAAACGGGACTTCGATGATGCTTATGATGCCTGCCGGGGGGAGGTGACGTGCAGCGGCAAGTGAAAAACGAGTATCGCCCATTTCCGTCCTCGTCCGCCCTGCGCAGCTTGCCCCCGATTTCTGAGCTTTCGTCCCCCCCTTTGGGGCGAAAGTATTTTTTCTGCATATATGCATGTATGTATATATATATATTTATTTATTTATATTTATATTTTTTTATACATATATATATATGTGTGTGTGTAAACATATGCGAAGCGATCATGTATAAGGTGTTAAGGCTTCCGAAGAGTGCGGCAGCTCGCAGTGTCTCAAAGCTGTTGTTTGTTGCCTGCTCTCATCGCGTAGATCGTAGTGATAGTGTTGCATATGTGTACACATGCACAAATATGCACATGTACGATTCCTGCCATTTCGCACTGTGACCTTTGAACAGCCCACCAGGTTCGAATTCTCACGCTTGTCGTGTTCGGAGTCCAATCCAGTGGCAAAACAAGCTTCATCGAAGCGTTGCTGAAATTTCCGGTCGGTTATACGAGCCGCTCCTCGACATCAATGGGACGCGGATACAGGCTTTGCGTACGGTTGAATTCACACTTTCAGTCGCTGCTTGTCCTGAACGGCTGAGGTTCGACAGGCACCCGCTGCCCTGTCAGATACATCCTGAGAAACTCTCCCACTCGTGCTTATTGGACAGTGGGAGGTACGGAGTGTCAAACAAGAGAAGACGTCCGGAAAAAGGTCAGCGATTACATGATGCAATTGGGCAACAAATTCGATCACAAGCCTTTGAATGTGGAGATCTTTGAACCTGCTAGGATCGACATGGACATCACAGATCTGCCCGGTCTGAAAGACAAAAAGGAGCCGGATGCGAAGGAAATCCGTGCCATTACAGAGGATTGGCCCGAACAGTAATTGCCTAATTAAATTGGTGTGTATGTATTTCCCCTCCTTATGTTTGCGAGATCTGCTTACAGCAGTAAGAACTATACTAAAATCTAAGATACGCGCAAGGGAGTCGAGCTGCCATTGCTTGCGGCAGAGCCAAGGAGTCCTACTTGAACAGTGATGACGTGTTTCCTGTGGTTCTCTGCAAGGCCGAGAAAAACCATGAGACACAGCTCGATTTGGATTCACTGAGTGAGCTGGGGCTCGATTCGAAAAAAGCCCTTATAGTGGCCAACTATTTCAACAAGCAAATCGGGGACTTTTCGAAGGTGTCAGATCTGAACACTTACTGCGAAGGATACCAAGGAAAGTATCCGCAGATTCGCTTTGTGATGTTGCACCCCCATGATAGCATCAACAAGGAAGGGATGAGTTTCCAGGAGCTGTCGGACTACTATGAGAAGCTGCCAGAGAATGAGAAGCAAGCCTTGGATAATCATGTCAAACGCATGGAGGTAGATGCAACGCCAAAGCCTTCCGTGAGAAAGAACATGGGCGTCAACTCGGCTTTCGAGTTCATGCACACTCAGCTACACCGTTGGATGCAAGACAATCGCGATAGAATCAGACGTGCATTGCAGGACAAGCCAGCTGCCAGTAGTTCACCTCCACTGTTCCAGTGGGACTGTTGTGGGGTTTGTATCTTCCTGTTTTAGGCATCGTTTGGAAGTCCTTTAGTTTGAGCATTGAGCCATCTAACAATCTAAGAATCTAACCGTTTGCTGGCAGGAAAGGCTGACCCGGAAAAAGGACGAGATGGCTGCTCTTGAAGCAGCTCTTGGTGAAGACGAAGATGTGAAGAGACTGTGGCGATACTACATTCTTGACTTTCAGCGGGTGCTCTCCTCCATCTATGAGGCTAAGCAGATTCATGTTAGAGATGTGCACGACACCTCACGCTACGGAAAGGGCAAGGATTGGGCATTTACGACCGACGATCTCGAGGTAGGCCGAACTTTCCAAGAAGTGGAGCAGTTGATTCCGGATGGTGACAGGAAGGCTTGGACGATGGATTATGAGGCGCTTGAGGAGCAGCTGCAGGGCACACATACTGGTCGGACGCTACAGTGGCGCTTGGCTGCACATGCAGGCTTCACCAGACTGTTGAACGTCGTCGGCTACATGATCATGCGTCATGGCTTGAGGCCTCTCTCGCTGTCGGAAATGTATAGCAAGAATGCCCATGACAATTCCGGCCTGACCCACACTTTTAACAAGCACACAGTGTTGAAGCAGCTGGTCGTAGAGAAGATGTTCGATTTGCAGAATCTTATGCAAGCGGCACTTTCGCATGTGGAAGCCTTGTACAAGGCCGTTTCCTCAGTTGCTGAACGCGTAGACTGCATTGACAAGTCTCATTTGTTTGGTGAATTTGGTGATCAAGTTTGGATGTGGTACATGGCAGTCGTGTGTGTCTGGGAACTTCCCATGATCGACAGTCGAGCTCTGTTAGTATCATGTCTTGATGCGGATGAGTCTCGGGGGTTCACTGACTACACTGCTGCAGCCAAGTGTTTTTTGAATATGACACTTACGCCTTGGTTTCCCATTCGGAACCTTTCTGAGGCGCCAGTGGAAGCAGTCCAGGAGATTGTGCAACGATCCCATCCGTCAGTGAAGTCTCACCACGCTTTCCGTGCCAGATTGTCAGAGGTATTCGGACAGTTGCTCGTTGACAAGCTGGAAACGGCTAAAGAGGTGCTACACCACCTGATAGAGCAGAAGACCACTTTCTTTGGTGTGGATCTCACCACACGTCTGATTGCATTGGTGGCGCTGGCACCTTTGCGTCAGGACATCTTCCAGGAAAAGCCATCTGTTTTCGAAAACGAGATTCAGATGGAGAACGACGAGAAGGGGTCTGGAGAGTCTGCTTCGACGACTGCTTCGAGCAACTCCCAAAAGAACCTTCATCAGACTCGAGACGTTTCTTATCGGCCCTCCACCTCAACTTCAGATTCAGCTGTGCCTGCCCGGTACCACCCACGCCGAGAGGCCGTGCTGTCGGTCAAAAGGGCGCTCCACAAGACCCGGAGCAAATTCTGCACCATTGACTTCATAGAAGGCGGGCATCAAGATCTGGCCCCTGAGGAATACACGACCATAGATGAGAAGGAGTTCAACAAAGACGGAGAGCAGTACTTTCGCGTGCTAAAGGGTCTCCTCGTGTTGGAGGTGGAGAGTACCCTCCACACCCACTTGTTCGCCTTCTTGAAGTCCGACCTTGCAACATCAGTAGGAGAGCAAATGTTGAAGGTGGTGGATGGCCTGAAAGACGACGAAGTGAAGGAGTTGAAAGGTGACGACGATGACAGCCGGCATAGGCTCGACGAGCTTAAGCCCCAGTGCGAGCTGCTGGAGGAGGCGCTAAAAAAGCTCGGGGGGACAGGCGCTGATGCGCCAAGTCCCGTAACCAAAAGCAAGCCCTCCACAAGTGCACATGTCCCAACTGCAGTGATCACTGGGGAGCTTACCTGCAATGGCATGGATTTGTCAAAACTTGCTGGATTCCCTGATTTTTATCGGGCTTTCTGGCCACAAGCTAGGGCAGAAGTTGCGCAAGCCTTCGATATTCAGGAGTCGCAGGTGGATGTTCGCGAATGTGGCAACCATTCCATCGGCTCTAGCTTGAAACTTCGGGGTGACAATCTGCCAATGAAGAAGCAGAAGATGGAGGAGAAGATTCATGCCTCGCTATCGCGAGGAGTGGTCATGTCCCGATGCGCAGATATGTATCTGAGGGGCCTGTGTCTGGATGAAAACATTGAAACCGCCCAGGCCTAAGCTTCAATGGGCGTGATGTGAGCAATTGGAAGAGAGTAGTACAGCTGCCTTGTCACCAGGGCAGCATCTGAGTGTTGCCGTTCCCAGGTTGGCACAGTTCACGAAGCTACAGTCTCTGGTTCTTCACTCAAGGCCAGTCCCGCCCAAAAAAATTCAGCTTGTTCTCTGTGGATGTCTGTAACCAGGCTGGATCACCACATTTTTCCATTCAGGCACACCCTGTTCTCACATCTCACAAATCGGGACACGTGTGTTCTCAGTGAATGTTGGTTGGTCCGCTGTCCCCTGTGAAGTTGGTTGATGCCAGGTTGGATCGCCACAAATTCCGTTCAGTTCCATCATGTTCTCAGCACGCCAGCTTTCACAACACAATGGGTGTCTACATCAGCTGGTTTGAGCGAATGATGTACTGATTGTGTCGTAAGCCCTTCAGAGTTGGAGATCCCGACCTAGCCGAGTTATTCTTGACCCGCTTGTCTAGTTTATGGGAGGGTCCGATGTACGTTCTCGGAGCTTGAATTGAACTTTCGGCTCGCGCATCCACCTTGGCAGTCGACCGAGCAGTCGACTCTCGGATCACTTTGAGCGGCTGCCGTGGGCAGAAAACTGACAATCGGCGCAACCTAAACCCGGAACGGACAGAGGATGAAGCAAGAAGACTACCGCTGTGTCCACTGCCCTAACCGCAGCTTAGGTGTGTTTGGATTCAGAGAGACAGCCGCATCACTGGCGTTCTGAAGACACTCCGGTAAGCCCTGCGGTCTTTACTTTCACCGGGGTTCAATGTTCCACTAAACTATCAGCAGAAGGGGGTCGTGGGCGGAGCATGTGTGTTCCAAAACCTGGGCTTCAAGACATACCACACACACGAGGTCTACCATGTCGGAGGACAGCAAGCCCGTCATGCCAGGCTTGTTCGTTGCGTATCCCGTCACTGAACGTATGCCACGTCCGTGAGTGCACAAATGAAGAATTTACTTTCATACATGTGACTTAAACGACCTGCTTCCTCCGTTCTGTGCACTCTAGCTTTCGCTCTCCCCCACAAAGCCTATCGCTAACGGCACGGGTGGCTTTCAGCCCAGGAGTTTTGACGGCTCCCCATTCACGACGGTGTACTGGTAGTCTGCTTTGAACCCAGTTTGAACCCAGGCAACCCCGTGCCAACCAACTCAGAAAAGAACGAGCAGGTGAACGAAGCCGTGGAGAGGCAACATGCAAGGGCGGTCTGGATGGCAATATTAGGTCACGAAAGCCAGCTCTTCAGAGGAGCTTTTTCCGTTGTTTATATCAGATATGATGAACTAGGCCGGCAAACGGTGTGATTCATCAACGTGGCATGGCAGAACTAATGTGTCGAAGGCAGGGGCGGAGGTGCCGCCTACACGTCGATTTTCAGGCAGCAGGCCGCACTCCACCCGCCCCCACAACCACCCCCGCGTGCGGCCTTGCGTTTGTCGCCTTGCTCGTACGCAGACTGAGGACGCTGTTCAGTTGCCTGCACTCTGCATCGTGTCGCTGTCTTATGTTCGAGGCTCAGGATGCTCTGACTTGGGAGGTACAGGAAGAGAGAAAGAAGGCCAAAGACGAAGCAAAGGAGCAGACTGAGCAGGCGCAGAAGGCCGAAGGCCCGACGATGTCGTTGCTCCTACCATTTGGGCTGCAGTTGTAGGGCGCAAGGCGGGCCCGACTGTTTTGGCACGTCGCATCATCGCCAAGGTAGTACATCAATTACTACATCTTTCCTCTTCACGTCATCCGATGTGGGGGTGGGACCTTACACCTTCTATCCTGTCACCTGTTTCGTTCATGCCATTCCCGGTGTCTGGCGGGTATCAAAACATCATCACTAGTTTGTGTTGATGTACGGGCGGCCTCCAGGACCACAAACATCATCACTATGTCATGGAAGGCTTTGGTTGTGGTCGGGTTTGAAATTGCGTCAGTGGGCAAGATGTCCATCGTTCTGAGTAACGTGAAAGCGTTGTTGTTTGGTTTGTTTTTCGTTTGTGTGTTTGTCTGTCTGTCCGTCCGTCCGTGTGTCTGTCTCTCTGTCTTTGTGTGCGTGCGTTTGTGTGTGTGTGTGTCTGCGCACGCGCGTGTGTGTGTGTGTGTGTGTGTGTGTGTGTGCGTGCGTGCGTGCGTGCGTGCGTGCGTGCGTGCGCGCACGTGGGTGCCCGCGTGCGTGCGTGCGCGCGTGCGTGCGTGCGTGCGTGCCTGGCTGGCTGGCTGTGTGTGTGTGTGTCAGTCAGTCAGTCAGTCAGTCAGTCAGTCAGTCAGTCAGTCACAGTGTGTGTGTGTGTGTGTCTGTGTGTCTGTGTGTCTGTGTGTCTATGTCACTGTGTGTCTGTGTGTCTGTGTGTCTGTGTGTATGTGTCTGTGTGTGTGTATGTGTGTGTGTGTATGTGTGTGTGTGTGCGTAGGCGTACGTGTCTGTCTGTCTGTCTGTCTGTCTGTCTGTCTGTCTGTATTTCTGTATTTCTGTATGTCTGTGTGTGTGTGTTTGCGCGTGTGCGTGCGCGCGCGTGTGCATGTGTGTGTGTGTGTGCGTGCGTGCGCGTGTGCGTGCGCGTGCGCGTGCGCGTGTGCGTGTGCGTGCGTGCGCGTGCGTGCTTTGCATGTGTTTATGTGTGTGTCTGTGCGGGTTTTTTTTGTTCGTGTTTTTGTGTTTGTGTGCGTGTGCATTGTGTCTTTGTGTCGAGAATCACCTCCTAAGCCTCCTCGTTCTCCTTCTCCACCTGCCATCGCACGTTGCCGTAATCAAAGGCGCCTACATGCACAGATATTTTATGAGCAGATTTTGGAGGGCCTAAACCCTGGATTTGCGAGACTTGATCTCGCTAGGCAAGCGTCTTTAGTGTAGTGTAAGCCACTGTTGGCGTCCGGAAGCAGGAGGCTGGCATGTGGGGCAAGCATTCAACATCATTCAACCATGTCAGATGTCCACTGTGTCTTCAGTCCTTGCCTTCGCAAGCGTGTGCTGATATTTGCAAGTTGTTCTGCACTCTTCTTTTGATCTGAGGCTTGAGATCAGAGTTGAACAGGTTTCCAGACCACAGTCTCACGGAAGCCCGCGAGGTCTTCGATTTCGAATGCTCGCTATGTTTCATCTAATTGCACTCGTTGAATTGCAAGGCAGAGGGGCGACAACTAGACCGCCAGATGTCGCAGCAAAGGAACTGCGTAGAAGTGCTCAAGCCATTCAACTCACTTGCAAGTGTTTGCAGACGGTCGGGGAAGATGACTACGTGCAGTAGTGCAGCAGTGAATTTGCTGATTTATTGTGATTGTGTTTGGTGACATCTCAACGTAAATATGTGCCGCTGCCCAAAAATCACGAATGTTGTGCGCTTTGCGACTGCAACCTGTCGAGTCCTGGAGATTGCCGTAGCTTCTCCAGAAAGATGCGAATGAACTGTTTGCAACCTTCAATGTCGCAAGGTATGCGGATGGGCTGTCGGCCGTTGCTTGCTATTTAGAATCGCTGCCCCTTGAACTGCGATGTTGGCTTCTAGTGATTCTAGTCTTGCTCAGGCAAAGAAGTTGAGAAGCCCAAGCCCAACACTGCCGGGAGAGCCCAGTCCAGCTGCGAGGCAAGCGGCAGCCTCCAGCAAACCAGCACCCAGCCCACCCCACCAGCCCAGCCTGCAGGCCCGACAAGCCAGGCGCAACCCAGCCAAGCCCAGCCCAGGCAAACTGCCGGCAGCGAGTCGGCAGACGAGCGCTTCAAGCCTACGCCGGGCCCAACATGGGAATCAGGGGAATGGGAATGGTGAAGAGGAGGAGGTGATTGATGCCGAGTCATACGGGCGTTTTGGACGAGAAGCCTGCAATGCCACAGAGGCGACCAGAGATGCATTCTGATTGCCGGTGTGATCTGGCCATGTATACAGACGTCTATTCTGACTTTATGTTGGTGATCTATTCATCCTGCCATATACAGAACGCCCAATCTCAGAAGCCGGGCAGGTTGCCAACAAGGAACCAACACATCTCTTTGTTGCCCTCTCTTGTCGCTCTCCGTCTCTCTCTCTTTCTGTCTCTCTCCCTGTCGATCTCTTCTCTTCGTCCCTTTTCCTCTCTCTTCCTTTCTCCTTCCCCTCCCTCCCTTATCCCTTCCTCCCCTCCCTCTCCCCTCCTCCGCACCGCCCACGAGCCGCTGATGTCTCAGGGTCCCTTACGTAAATTGCAGTAATCCAGATCAGTTTTTCTAGCCACGGCTGGTCCAAGGAATGGTCCTGCGAATTGTTGTTTCCTGCGCAGGCATGGAAGCCAGAGAACTGATGTTTGCTTGCATCCTGTGACGGGCCCCCGAGGCAGCTTCTTGTAGAAGTAGTAGAGCATCGAGGGTGCGCTTTTGACGATGTAAGCTTGGTAAGCACAAGCTTTGGCCAGGATCATCGAAGTTTTGAGTATCTTCTATCAAAACGTTTCATATATATATATGTAATAGCTATATATATATATATATTACATACGTATTGATTTATTTGTCTTTCTACATTTACGTTACCTGCATGTTTGTACTCCGTTTATTATTTCAATATATATTCATTAACATATATATTTTTACGCTTTAATTACATTTGTCAATACACGAATTCTTCATATTTATAAACATAATTCTGTTGATATAGGGGTCTGATGCTGGTAAGGTCTATTTACTTAACTTTTTGAGATTTTTCGAGCTATATTGTATTTAACCTTCAATTCGATTACAAATATTTCTTTCACGCTTTTGTGGGATATATGTAGATTGATGGTTATAAAATATGGGAGAATATATTGGAAAGAATTATTTATCTTCGAAAAGAATTTCTCTTAGCTATTTAAGAAAGATTATTAATAAAATATGAAGAAGAATGGATATATATTTTTTTTATATATATAAATTCTAATTATGAGGTGAGATCGAAAATGATTATATTAGAATATAATAAGATCTTAGATTTAGAGTTGTTGTCGAATAGTTAAGAGATATAAATTATGAAGGTATATTAGGAATATATTATCTAAATTTAAGATTTCGTGTATTTGAAGATTGAAAAATATGAAAGGATGGAGATATTGGCAACTAAAAATTTCTCTTATATTATTTGCAAATTCTGAGATTATAGAAATAATTAAAAAATGATAGAAGAATAAAGGAATTAAGATAGTAAGTTAAATTTCTTGAAAGATAGATATAAAATAATTTTTGAATCTATAAAATAAGCTAGGCATTATTCTTTAATAAGGAATTATAAGAAAATTATATATTGTAATATTTTTTTTAGTTGATTTGGTTTTCTGGAGATTTAGTCTTATTCCTTGGTGCAAAAAATTCTAAATATTAATTTGAAGGTTCTAAAGATGAATTTAGAT